TATATATATATATCGGACAGAAACCAGTGTCTGTGAATCTGGGATTGGCACAGACGAAAAGATCCCGGTTTCAGCAATTCTGTAAACAGACTTTACATTACATTTAGCACCTCCTGGATCTGACTTGTGTCAGAATGTGAATTTCGTCTCATTTCAAATCTCCCTTTTCCCAGTATCTCTATTTTTCTGTGATATCTCTCATTGTTTTTATCATATGAAAGAATAAAGTGACATTTTTAGGAAGAGTAATTGCTTGTGCGTGCAAAACAGGGGCAAGATCTTAGAAAAGCAGATTATTATTATTAGTGCTAGATGCTCTATTATTTTTTCAATGATGATGATGAGGATACATTTCCTTGCTTTTTGCAAGACCAGTCTATACAGTTTTGGGATTTTAAGAAAAGGACAATTCTTACCATTCATGGGGAAGAAGGAAAAATTTAAAAACCCTCCTCTCCATTCTATACAATTGGAGCACACGTAAAAACCAAGCAGAGCTTTTATTGCACCATCATGACCACCATCTTGACTTTCCTGACCACAACCGGTGGACACCCCTGCAAGGTAGCGCAGTAGTGAAAGTGTTGGGCAAAAATGCAGTGGCAAACCAATTCCGAATAATTTGCAAGAAAACTGACACGTTCATGGAGGCAGTTGAGGGAATCTGACTTGTCATATGAAGCAAGTTCCTATCTGACCTCGGGTGACTTTGGAAATTACCCAGGTTTACCCTGGTTAATATAAAGTGACGCCCATTAAAACGTGGGTGGGGCTTTGACCATTATCATGACTTTTTTGACCTCCCCCCTGGGTGCCCTGATTGTTGCCTAAAATGGACTGATGCTTTTCAGTGGAATTTTTAAAAAATGCGTAAAAAATTCTGGAATTTTTAAAAACATGACAGCACGTTTCTAGTGACTGCTGATTCCCCCCTTTTATCTGCTGATTTATCTGTAAATGTGATTTCCCCTCACTTAAAAGCTGAGACTCCCTGTTACCTGCTGCACATCTTCTGAGAGGGGAAGGCAGGAAACAGGACAAGCTAACAGAAGATGCTCCGTCTCCAGATACCCAGCAAAGTTGTGCTGATTGAACCAATATGGACTCTGTCTTTCTCCAGCTTCAGAATCAAAACTTTCAACTCTAACTTTCCACTTACTTTTCAAGAGAAATGATTCTCCCTTCCACAATGGGGTAACTGTTCTCCCCTGGTTGTTGGGTTCAGCAGTACCCCAACAGGAGCGACATTTTCTATTCCTGTATTTTTTATTCTTTTATAATGCAACCCCTAAAGCTATTAAATACCAAAATGCCAAGTTAATCAATCAACATTTTAAAAAATTAAAGAAGTACAATAAGCTTGCGTAATAAATAAAATGACCTACATTTTAAGAAATAGCGCAGCTCAAATTTCAAACAGCCATTAAACTGGACCATCCAGGAATATATTGTCCAGTTAACAGCACTGGTGGAGAGAGGAGAGTGTGTGTCAAAAAAGTCAAGATGGTGACAGTGACTGCATGATTGAAGCCCTGCCTCTTTTTAATGAGTCACATTAGCATACCTAATCGCGACCACCATCTTGCCTTTTTTCATCCCACCCCCCCACCCCGAAACCCCTCTCTCCAGCCTTTCCATTGCATTGGTACAAAGTCAGTTCAGAGCTGAGAGTGCACACATTTCTTCAAAGCAACCTTTGACATGTGATGTACTGATAACACATTTTTTGGTGACCATCCAGGCTTCATAGATCCAACATTGTTCGTAAAAAGGTAAATTCTGAATGTTAGGACTACAATTCAGCAAAACGTTGATGTTGTTAAACATTAACTCTCTCGCTAAAATTAAGACTATTAAGCATATTAAGCCAATACGGAGCAACCAAAGGAGGTGATTAATTGTAAAGAAGAGTTAATACGCCTTCAAATTTATTAGGTAAAAAATGATTAACTGTCTCTGTTTGAATGTTGGCTGCGATGTCCAATATGCCTGAAAAAGGATTTTTTTTTTCCTGTATTGGACTCATCTTAAAATTATAAGTAACATTTTTAACATAGTTTAAAACTTGAGATCAAGGACTAAAATTGGATACAGTACTTCAATACTTTGTTACATATTTCTTGCAAAGAACTGAAGATTCTTCAGCTTAATTCAAAGAATGGAAGATTCTTCAAGTCAAGTCCCAAGAATAAGGTTTAAATTATAATTTTCTAGTTGCACCGACAGTGCAAAGTAATTTTCATTAAAAAAAAAAAAAACCAAACAGGTTGATATACACAATGAAAAACTGAAAAATCTGGAAAAGTCAAACCCCCACGTTCCCATGGGGATTGCAATTTAGGAAGAGAGAATCCTGAGGTCTGACTGAGTCATAAAAAATTCATTAATTGCTTACTGATGTGTTTAAATATCTAAAGGGAATCAGCATAAACGTCCTTGTATACAAACTGTGAAGTAAAATTAATTTTCACCACATTTATTTCTTCTCATGGATATTTTCAACCAGCCATTAATCTCAATATTCATCTACCGTAAAATTATATTTTCTTAAGATTATTATTCCTAGGCAGTTAAAGAATTCCAAAGCCTAAACAAAATCCTCATTTTTTACATATTTTTAGAGAGACCTTATTTCTAATTTACATTTGATTGGTTCCAGTTTATTTAATAGCTGAAAAAATTATCATATTGTTGGATACTATCCACAAAATTAGATAAAGAACATTGATAATTATGGATGAAATCCAAAATGTCATCTGCATATAATGACAACTTAAGTTCCCCTTGCCAACTTGTTTATCTGTAGATGGTTTCATAAGATAGACTTATGAAGGATCCATAAGAGCAGATGTTTTTGGACATTTTTGTTGAGTTCTTCTATGGTACATCTTTACCATTGGTTGGGGGTAATTCTATTGGGAATAACTCGAGCAGAGTGGTTAAAATAATATATTTTTAAGAAATATTTATTAACATAAAAATTATTAAAATATTTATTAAAGATACATTTTTAAAATAATATATTTAATCTAAGAAATAACATTTCAAGGAAATCCACTTTGCTCCAAAAATTTAATCAAATTATTAATATCTCTGCAACCTGTATCCCAAAGTTGCAGTCAATTTTTTTTGCATGAACATTTAGCAAAGAAATTGGATGCTCAATTTATAGTCTTTTCATCTAGCTTTAATATAATATAAGCCTCATAAAATGATAAAATGACAGGGATAAATCACGATCTACTTTTAATAATATAGGGGGCCAAATTTTCCCCGCACGGCATCTTTCACATGACGCTCTGGAAATCCATTTGGGCGGGTCAGTTTCCACAGACTTAATTATATTTAATATTTTCAGTAAAGGTTTTTATTTATTTTTTATTATTGAGAAGAACTAAAAACCACATGTGGTGCTTTAACAAAAAAAGTGAAAGAAGTACAACAAAGAAAAAAACATGTTAATATGTTATTATAACAGTAAGCAATTACTGTTTACTGTTACAATTCTCTATATCTTTATCTCATGCAAACATTATTCAATTACGTATTTATTTCTAATACATTTATATGACAATAAATGTATTAGATTAAATGTAGATTAAATGTAGTAGGTTAAATATTTTTTAACCTACTGTATTTTGCATAAATGAGTCCCATATTTCATTGTCCTGGTCCCTACAAAGTCTAGAAGTGCAATCAGGTCTTCAATCCATGTTTACTTCAGTAAAGTTGAAAGTGCAGCTAAATTAACCGAATGACTTTGAGAACTTGGAAGTCTTATTTTATCCTTTAAAGATTTAATCCACTCCGGGGATCTCCAAAGTTGAGTTAAAAAAAAAAAAAACTAAAATACTGCAAATTTATTGTCCCCCAGTCCTTGTGCATTTTATCTAGGGAATCCTTATATTTCATTATTATGTTCTTGCAGAGAATAAGCCAAGAGTTCCCCTGGCTTTCCTCCACTCCCAATAAATCTGCTTTAATGAATATTCCATTCTGGAGGCATGCAAATTATAAGTTCCAGTCTGACATACAGAAAAGTAAAATTTCTCACATAGATATTCAAAATTCCCTTGGCCTGCCTTTCCAAATTACAGCCGTCAGACCTTTTGTTCCTCTTCCCTGAACCGTAGGTGATCGTTTGGCCCCATAGGAAAGTTTTAAGTATTTCGAGCAATCCTCCAACGTGTTGGTTATTTGCTTGAAAAAAGAAAAACAGGTCAAAATCTTTTTGTTGCAGATCAACAAATTGTGAGTCTTTGATAATGAGTGCAATCTTGAGTCAGACTGATGGTTCTTAAAAGCCATTGGTAACGTCACGGGAACGTGGTCTGCCCAAAAATGGTGGCCATGACCTCATATTCAAAGCTCCACCCCTTTTTATGTGCGCACAGTGCATGGAAAAAGGGGCGGGACTTTGATCACAGGGTTGCAGAAGCTCTCTTGACTTCTTCGACGCCCCACCCCACCCAGCAACACTGCTGGTGGGATGTTACCACCTCAAGAGGATTGATGTAGCTCATTGATGTGCTTGGTCCTTCCTGCAAAGGTCCTTGATGAGGTGCCAGGCTGGGAAAAACACATGGGCACACTTGGCTCCCTCCTGGCGAAGCAGAGCAGGGCACTTTAGCAAATCATGGTTTTCTCTGGGCAAGACTCAGTTGTGTCATGGATGTGGCTGGCAGGACTTTATGTTAGTGAGTAGAGGCAGTGCAAGCAGGTGAGAAACAGTGCCACCAAGAAAGGAGCCAGCTAGAAGTATTACGGGTGCTTCTTCACAACTTGCCAGCAACTTAAACATGTCCTAGTTGGGTAGATTGTGAACACTTTTTTTCAGTGTTTCTCAACCGTGGCCATTTTAAGATATGTGGACTTCAGCTCCCAGAATTCCCCAGCCAGTTGAAGTCTTAAAACGGCCAAGG